GTGCGCGGCCTGTGGGCCGCAGCGGCGAGAGCCCCCCGGCGTGCGCAGGCAAAGCGCGCCCGGCTTTTTGCCCTTCTGTCCAGAAGGGTTTTGCTGCCGGTAGTTCTTGGTACCGTGTCGCAGCGAAACGGTTAGAACGCAAGGGAAGCTTAAGGGCTGGTGGTGCCGTTAGTGCCGGACAATTGGTCGTACCGTGTATTTGAAAACGAGTTTTGAGAAATACTGTGCCGTTTCCTAACATCGTTCAACACGGGGAGCTCAACGCCCTCAGGAGATAATCTTTCAGCCACTCTTCTTTCTCGTTCCTTTATAAAACAATATCTCATTTTACTGAAGCTTCTACTTAAATTAGAAATAAAGATCATAAAATTAAACATGAGAGGTATGTTAGTTTGGAAAATAATGGTGTTGCCCAAGAGGAGGTGATGTAAGACATATACAACGTTTTAGAGCTGTAGAGTTGCATTCTTCGCAAAAGACTTGATTTTCAGCAGCCAGCTCAATAACATGTGATTGCTCTCTACTTATGCTGTTACTCTAAAGCAGGTATCAGCTTCTAGCAGGAGAGCTTTTAATGTAGGTTAATGTCATCCTAGGACAGTACCCCTGAAAGAAGTTGTTTCCCCATCTGTTGAGCAGGAAGGAGATCATACCATTGGCAGGCCTTGCTTGCAAGGGCCTCCTCTTCCAAGTAAGAGAACTGCCTTTTGTGTAAACTGTAGGAAGTATGTAAACTACTAATTGGGCTGTGTGTGTCTTAAAGCTGCTTCTAGGAGCAAAAGAGGACTCCTTATCTCTTCAGGTCCATTTTTGGCCTAGTTTAATAACCTTTGGATCTGCTGCTGATTAAGCAGTAGAACAAAATTGGCTCCCATTAGGTGGGCCCCTCTTCCCCCAAACACTTTTTCAAATTCCCAGTGACATTTATAGCTTTATGTGTTTTTAAATAGTGTTTTATGACAAAATGTATTTTAAAAAAAGTTAGTTTCACAAATACAGCAGTTTTAGTATACAAAAACAGTAGACAACTAGCCTGTGGAGTATGTTTCTGTAAGTTTTAAAACGGAATTTGATAAAGTTAAATATACTAATATTAATTTTTGTCGTAAATCTACCATAAGCTACTCTGAATATTCCTTTACTATTGGGCTCATATGGAGTAGGTAGTTGAGAAAGCTAGGCTAAAGCTCGCATGTGCATCCAAGCGGTCGTAAATGCTCATTGTCAATGGAAGCGAGAGGTCTTGCCTCTTTCCTTGCTCTTGATTGCATGATCCTGTTCCTTACTTTGTGTTATCTCTCGACTTTCCTCTGGCTTTTTCCTGAGCTGATTTGTTTTTTTCACATGAATGATTTTTTTTTTTTTTTTTTTTTTGGCTGAGGCTTTTTTTTTAGCTGTTCCAGTGAGTTAAAATCAGCTCACAAGTGCATTGTAGATGACATGCAGTAAGCTAGGGGAGGTGTAAGCTGAATCCTTGCCCCTGTTGGCAGTGATGCACGATAACTGATTTGCCTTAGAACTGCAGCTTCTCCCTTTGTATTACCTTTGCTACATTTTCCATTCTGCTTTTGGTGTAAAGATGGTAACAAGTTACAATTTTTTTTTTTTTTTCCTTACAGGAGGAGGATGATTGGAAAGAGTTTGAGCAAAAGGAAGAAATTGATTATAGTGGTCTTAGAGTTCAGTCCATGCAAATAAGGTATTACTTCTGTTTGTTTTTTATCTCCCAGAATAACGATCATTAATTCTGAAGGTAGTTTCTTTCTTGGTGATCTACCTCCATGGAATCCAATTAAATAGTCGTTTATTTGTTTCTACCGATATAGAACTCTTTGCTGCAGGGTAATTCAGATTTTACATTTGTCTTCAGATGTTTTTATTTCCTGAATCTCTCATGCTGGTATTTTGGCTCACTTGCATGCTCTCTTTTCACACGCGTACATGCATACACACACTCATATATATATGTGTGTGTGTATTTGGAGAGGGGGGGAGAGTACTTGGGGAAGTAAATGTCTAAACAGTTGCATTTTTATTTCAGGAGTGTGAAAATGTAGTTGGTAAAACCAGTGACCTCTGACAAGAACCCTTAGGACTGCATTTATGAGTCTCATCCAACAGATAATCGCATGTCTGAATGACACCTTAAGCAACAAGTGGGGTGCTTTACTAACTTAAGAGGTCAAACTTACATTGTTTGACTGAAAAGCAAGTTTCCAGACAAGAGGCCAGCATTTTGAATGCTTTTACTGCTGTAGCATATTTTCAGGCGTGTGGAACTTCTTGCCATAGGCTTTTATAGCCGCTTAGCGTTTGTGGATTCAGGGGGAGACTGGACAAGTAAATGAAAGAAAAAAAAACAAAAACAAAAAAAACAAACCAAAAAAACAAGTGAGGGTTATTAATTAGGCAGACATCATGCCCAGCTCAGGAGATCTCTGCTGAAGATAGCTGGACACTGGGAACACAAAGAGGAGGGGGGGAAGATTGCATATGCTTTCCCTGTTCTTGTTGTTCTGTAGACATCTGCTCATGGCTGTACTTTAAAATAGGTTATGATGTGTTTGTGCCCTTGATCCAGCTTCGTATGATTGTTCTCATTACTATCAAAGTTAGTTGTTAGTTTGTTGTTATCAAAGGCCATTTAGTTTTCAGAAATGACAGGCTTTTTTTTTTTTGTAAGACTGTTCTCTGATCATTGCTTTTCCAAAAGACTTATCCATTTTTGATTAGTAGGATTCAATGCTGTGTAATTTTCTTCTGTATTCAGACATGCTGCAGCTCTTCTGACCAATGTTTTGGGTTATTTAACCTTACCCTCCTGTACATCCTGACCCAGCCTGACCTTCCATGTATATCCTAGTATACCACATAGCTTTCTAAGGTAGCTATCCTTGGCTAATTATTTCTGAGTATCTGACTATTTCTAGTAGGGGTGAAAGAAAAGCTTTGACTCCTGTGCCTTGGCCACCTGGTACAGTTTGAATATGTCTCTTTTTTTTTTTTCCTTGGTTTTTCCACTTCATTTTCTGAATTGTGTGGTGGTGTGGCAAAATTGTTCTGAGGGAAGTAGTAACATGGTGGTTACAGAACTAAATCTAGTATCTTCTGTACAGTAGCTGTGAAGTCTGTCCTTGGTGATTGTGTAATCTCTGGCAAGTCTTTGACCTATATTTTTGTAAAGTGCTACTTATCATTTCTCTTTTGTAGTGAAAAAGAAGATGATGAAAGTGAAAAAAGAGAAGAACCAGGTGACAACTGGGAGGAGGCTGGAGGTGGTATAGACAAATCATCTGGTCCTTGGAACAAGTCAGCTCCTGCACCAGCACCTGTTGTTGAAGCAATTGGTAAATTTAAGTCAGGTTTGGGGTGGGTGGGGGGGGGGGGGGGGTGTTTGGTGTTTTCTTCAGTCCAGGGATTCATATCTGATTGAGTTTCAGTTGTTCATAGGCAACTGCCTAAGAAGCAGTTCCTGTCCTGGCACCTCGTAACATCTAACGGCTTGCTTTACACATGTAGAAGCAAATGAGAGAACCTTCTTTTGAAGGAACCTGAGGAACTGAATCAATAGTGCTGTCAGATACTAAAAATAAGCATGCATGAGAAGTTTTGTTTTTTGTTTTTGTTTTTTTCCAGCCCTCAAAAGTAGAAAAAACTGGTATGCCTTCTTTGAATGAGATCCCTATACTTTGCCATCTGCAAAGAATCTGTTTAAATGTTTCTGCTGATCTAAAAATACTGCTTTGACAATAAGCTGGTGTTCAGTCGGTATCCAATATCTAATATGGCATTTCTTAGGCTGGATTCAGTAATTGGTACACTGTGGATTTTTTCTCTTTCCAAATCAGTTGTGGGGTACAGGAAACAACATTGCAAAATGAGGGTTTTTAACAGGGACAGAACTTCAGGTTTGATTAAATACAATTTCATAATATTACTAGAGTTGAGGTAGCTGTGGTCCGAGTTCAGACTAATCTCTTCCATTGAGTTAATAGGTACATTATTTTTTTCATTAATCAGTGTTATTTCATTGTAGATTGCTACCTTAAGCATAAACTATTTGGATGTTCCCCTCTACATCTGTGGAGGTGCTGTAAATGAGATTTGCAAATACAGAATTATTTGCAAATACAGAGTTATGTGTTAATACCTCAAGTTTTAAAGACAAGCTATTAATAAATTGTAAACAAGATACAGGAAGTTCTGTTCAGTGGTTCTAATGCTCTGAACTTGATGAGGCGCTACAGTAGAGCCATACTTTAATTGACTAATAAGCAGTTGCTAAACTAGATGACACCTGACTTCTTGACTAGTCTAAAATGTTTGCCTCCAGAGCGTTAGAAGGTGCGATAACATACTTATTAAATACAAATCTTAATATTTTCATACTTTTATATCAATCTGTGCTTTTTTGGGATGAGTGCAGACTGACTGACTTGTCTAAAATTCATTCTTATAAATAGTTACAGAAGCACCAGAACCAGTGCAAACTGGTGGTGTATACAGGCCGCCTGGTGCCAGGGAGGGCAGGCCGCGGAGAGCACAGCAAGGACCACCAGAAATCTATAGTGATACGCAGTTTCCATCACTGCAGTCCACTGCCAAGCTTGTAGACAGTCGAAAGTAAGTACATTTCATTAATCCCCTAAGAGACATTTTAACTGTATTCTCTGCATTCTTGTTCTTGTTATAGAGATAAAGCTAGTGTCTTTCCACGTGGGAAAGTAATATATGAGATAGATTATTCTCTATCTGGCAAAGAAATGGGAGGGGTCTTAACTGTATTTTCCAACTCTGTGGAGGGCTTCCCATGAAACCACTTTCACGGGACGTAGCCCAGTGAGATAGCCAAACAAGACTGACAGCTATCTTATCCATTTAATTGACATACTGAAGGATTTTTCCTAATCTAGAGTGTTTCTGCTCCTGTCAACATGCCGTTCGCTGAGACAGCAACCATGGTGAGGCTCTGTGCTGTTACCTATTGGTAGAAATGAACAGAATATTTTGAGCCTTCTTGTTAGAAATACAAAGGTGACTTAAGTGGAAGGATGTGATTTTAATACGAACATAAATTCAAAAACTTGCTATGTGAGCCCTAGGTTGGGAAGATGAGCCCTCCAATTTTGCTGAAGCCTGCCGTATTTTCTTGCGTGCGAGACTTCTGTCTCACACTGCCTGAGAGTCCTGATTTTCCTATAGTCTCATTCCCTACAGAAGAGATAGCTAGGCTAATACCCAATTCTTTTGTGTTTTATGACTTCTCAGTGTGGTATTGACTGACACGTTCTAGCAGAAGCTTTGGGTTTTTTTTTTTCTATTGCTGGTCTAGTTTTGTCTCTCTGGTAAATGAGACATGCTGTCGTTGATGCTTTAGGGCTTGAATGGTGTAAATTGGGCTAAGATGAAAATCTCTGAATGCTATTTTGACGTAGCACATTAAGTATGGTATACCCAATTACATATATTCTTCTGATTACTGACTAGCAGTCTAGAAAGTGAATGGACTTCTCTCTTCTAAAACCTTTTTTCATTAAAGTGCTTTTAAAATATACGTTAGAGAACATTAATATTGAAATTTAGAACATAGCCTGAACTGTACAGGAAGATGAGCTTGATTGTGGAGAACAGTTTGTGTGTGTTTTTTTTTTTTTTTTTTTAAACAAGATTTGCTTGGGAGTGTTTGGCTATTCTGTTAAAACTCTAGACCTTCATGTTTTGTGTTTGTAGTAATGTTTTTGTTGGGATGGGGTGGAAATTGGCTAGAAATTCACAAATCACAAGCTAGTGATAAGATATTTACTGATTACATTTATTTTCCCTTAGGGATAAAGAAATGGAGAAGAGCTTTGAAGTAGTAAAACACAAAACTAGAGGTAGGGATGAGGTCTCAAAAAACCAGGCACTTAAACTTCAGCTAGACAACCAGTATGCTGTGCTTGGGGATCAGTAGAGCTGCATACACATTACAATTAAGGAATGCTTTTTTGGTAACCCTTCTACTAAGGTAACTAAACTACAGCTAACGGCTATGATGAACATGCCACCTTATTTCTGCTGGATCTACTGCAGCAAGTGCAGACTACTTTGACGTAAGTGATTGGTTCTCCTGCACTATGGAAGCATAATATGTTACAACTTCTCCATTGGATATGGGGCAAATTAATGTAAATGATTGAACAAGAGTCATCAGTGTTCTTTAATTGCTCAGAAAGATACCTACAGCCAGTGGTCATTTCAAAATCTTTTTATGTTCAGATACTGAGCCTTCGTAAAGGTTGACTACCTCAGACTTGCTGCACTCATTGTGGACACCATGTGGATCACAACTTCTGGAAGAGAAGGTTACAGCTGTTTTAGTGGCCATCTGAAACTTGAAACCAGCTCTACTGGATTCCTGTCAGAAATCCTGCAGAAGTCAGCCATTTGGTTCCAATTTGCTATAACAAAGATTTAAGTGACCTTAATGAGAAACCTATTCTGTTCCCCTTCTGAGGAATCCTGTTATGTGTAGCCATAGCCTACTAGAGACTTCTGGAGCATACCATACCACTCATACTATCCAAGTACAACACAGAGCTGTAGTTTGTTTACCTTTTTAGATAGCTGTACTGAAGTAACTGCAAAACAAATTAAAACTCATTCAAAATCAGATTTGAGGAATTATGGGTTTGAATGGTCTGTTTGAATTAGCCATTTTCACAGTTGTCTGTTTAAGCATTTTTCTGTTTCCCCACAAAAATGCCTTCCTTGTTTCTGGTATCAAATTGCAGCATATTTAAGTAACAATGTGAGATGTTATAGTGAAATAAGGTTTATTTTGTGTTTGTTTCTTTTTTTTTTTTTTTTTGTCATGAGCTTGGTCTTTCTCACCCTAAAGCACTAAAGACATATAGAGCTTTGATTTAACACAGAGATATCCAGACTCTGACTATAGTCTTCTGAACTTATCTTTTTAAAAATGCAAGATACATGGCAGTAGCAATACTAGATAAAACTTCTCCAAAAATACATATTTGTTTGAAGGGCAATGGTTACTTTATAACCAAAATGACTTTGTATACTACAGAAGGATAACTAAAGCTTGGTAAGCCATGTTTGTTTGGCTACTTTTGTGAAGCATGCAGGCTGAGGCAGAAATCCTCTAAGTAAAACTCCTAAATAGTGTTTTTTCCAAAGTCAGGAGTATTGGTAATAATAATGGAAGGCAGTGGCTTCTTTAAGTTAGTCTCATCTCTGACTTAATTTCGTGGAAGTAGGCAAAACGGCACTTATACCGAAAGTACAGGATGTTGCCCATAGCTTTGGTTCAGTGAACAAAACCTGACAAGTACCAAAAGTGTCCTGCTGTAACTATTTTTCTCTTCTCTAAACTCTTACACCAGAAGCGAAATGAAGTGGCGTGCTCCAGTGTTGAGGTTTCTCAGAATAAATGCCAAAAAATAAGAGTTGCCAGTGGCAAGAAAAACAAGGGAACAAAACAAAATTTGCTCACTTGTGTGGGAGTACTGTGCATCTGTAGAAGATGAGGATAGTGCGGGAATTGCATAGTTGGGTTCCTTGTGACTAACTGCTCACTCGCTTTCAATATGCTTCTCTGAGGTCAGTGGGAATTGTTGACTTCAGTGGGCCTGGGGTTTCACCTGGTTCTTTTATGCACAGACTAAAACTGGCCTTGCCCTTGCGGAGTTAACTGTCTTTAAAATTTCTCCTGGAAGCTGCTATTAAATAGAGGGCTCAAGAGACTATCCTTAAAGTTGGAGACTTCCTTTGGAAACAAAACCCCACTGAGAGACTGATACCAATATTGTTGACTCTGAGCCATGTATCTTCCTTGAAAACACATTGTTGCCAGCGAAACTGTTGGTTTGTCACTAAAGATTTCTGTGGAATTCATGGTAAATGGACATGTCACCTGGTGATGTAGTAGAAATGTGAAATCTTAAAACACTTCTCCTGATGTTTAAAGAGATTGAAATTGTCAATGCACACGAATCAAGTTTTAATCTACTGTATGAAGGGTAGATGAGACTGTCCATTGTACCTTCTTTGAGTTTTTGGGCATGACTTCTGGCAGTTCAAGAAAACCCTGTAACAGTTGCAAATCAAATAAAATGGACATATACATGGATCCTGGAGTCTAATGAATCTTTACCTTTAGTTCCAGTTTATGACCATGCAACAGCTGAGCAAATGCAGGGTATTTGGATCTCTAAGGGACAGACCATGGAGTGGGTAGTCAGCTTTATAGTCAGGTGAGCTATGTGTAACAGCTTATAGCAGTGCATATTAATATGGCTTTTATTTGAAGATACTTAGTTTATTACCTGTCAGTGTGATTTCTTAGCTCTGCAACCATATAAGACTGTTTTGAGTCTGACTGTTTTGAAATATGGATGAAGCTTTGATTTGCTTTTCACTGAAGGTAGCTCTGCTGAATTACAGGATGAAAAACTCTGGAGGGTTTTTGCTGTTTCAGTAGCTTTACAAAAGTCCATCTGCTGCTGGTAGCTAGAGATTGTATTTTGGGGGGGACTTTGCTTAATTGCATCATTCCAATTCCTTATCTGAGGCTTAAAGGAAAAAAACCTGAAATGCAGCAGCTTTCCATAGTACAGAGTGTCTTTCACAGGAAAGTTGCACTGTTTTAAAGTGTTTTGGGGTTAAATACACCAATATTTATATACCAACCATAGTTCCTGGTGCCAGGAACTATGAAAATACCCGTTGTCAGTATCTTCCTTGTGACAATTAAATGTTCTGCATGCCTGAAATTTTGAAAGTAGTTTTTGAAAGCTCAGTATGCCTTTGAGACTCTCAAGTCCAACTTTATCTGGGTGGTAGTTACATTCATCTGAGGCATGCTAAGAATGCCCATTCCATTCCTTCCGAGGCTCGTTTGAAGCCTCGTTCTATAAATGAAAGATCGTCAACTGTAGAGATGAGATTCTTGATGCCACTCAGTGAAACCTAATTCTGTGCTGTATCAGGTAAATTCCTATGCTGTAATATAGTTAAGTTTTTATGGAGACCTTGTTGTTAATTTCTGATTTAAAGGTTCAGTATTACTTTCTTTGGCCTCAAATGCAAGCATAAGATATAAAATCAAGACGTTGCTAGTGGAACATCCAGGTGCCCAGAACGTACTGGAAAGGAAGGGTTTGGATGTGTTCTTGATTTGTATGGTCTGTATCTAAGGAATCTTTAAATGCCAAAAACGAGGTAATTGTTACAAAGTTGGACTTTCGGAATGCTGGCTGTAGGAATGGCAGCTATAATTGCTAGAGTTTGTGATAAATCTAGAAGAGCATTAGTTTTTTTCCATGGCTGTAGCTTTGTCAGGTTTCATCTCGTCTGCAAGTGAAGAGGAACTGACAACTAACAGTGACGACCCTCTCTTGCTACTTCAATTTTTTCAAGTTTTTTTTCTTTGTAGCTAGCTTTATCAATCATGTGCAAGGTAACTGTCTTCAGAAAACTTATGAATAAATGGAATTTGTATTAGAAGTCTGTCATCATAGGGACTTGGTTTTTTGGTATTGGACTGCATCTTTTGGCTCTTTTACCACAGCATGGCTGAGATTTCTATGCTGTTTAGGTCATGGAAACACAGTATAAGATTAATAGGACCGTATACTTAGGAATTTGCTTATCTGAGCATTTGCAATAAACCTTTTTTTTTTTTAATCCTCCTAGCCTGGCCGAGCAATTTAAAACTCGTTAGTGGCTGTCTTTCAAATGCCATAACTAAAATGGAGGCACTCTTTCTTATTTAGACTAATATGGTTTCATGTGATAAAAAGGTGCTTGTTTATACTCTGTAGGTAGTTATATTACTCTTTTTAATACTGAAATAGTCACAGAAACCTCATATTTCACATAATTACTTTGCTATTTGTCTCAAAGGCCCAAGAAACTCAACTTTTAACTGAAAAACCTTGACTTCTTTTTAAAAAAAAAAAAAAAAAAAAGACCTTGTGAACAGCCGTGATCCAGGTTTAGTCATCTGACTGTAATTTGCTTTCTAAAGTGCCCCTTCCTGTTCTTCAGCTTTTAATTTCACAAATGAGTTTCAATTGTAAATACATGCTGTGTTTGGGAGGTTAAGAAGCTTTTTTTAAATTTCAGGTATATAAATTAGGTGCATACAAGGAAAAAAGTCCAACACGTTTACTGATAAATTCTTCAGGAATAATTTAAAAGCTTGCCTGGATCCAGGTATAGTGTGAGAACTTACAAGGTCTAGCAGATGGAAAAAGAAATGACAGCAGAAAAGAAAACTGAGGAGTTTAATCCTGCTTTAGATAAGTAGTAATTATTGTGTATTGTGTTTTTGAAAACAAACAACAAAAAAAGGGAAAGTGGCAAATATGCAAGTAAAACACTGGGAAGATGAGAGTGGGAGGGAGTAGGAAGGCCTTTTGCTAAATGATGGTGTTAAACGTACGGTCTGAGGCAGGGAGTGAAGTGTAAGTTGGAAGGAGGAAAAGTACTACAGAGATAACAAGTACTGTTCCCAGCAGTGACAGGTCTGAGTTTAAACCAGCAAAAATGTTTGAAGTTCACTAGTTGGGGAAAGCATCTTATTGCCTCTTTTTTTTTTTTTTTTGGCCTTTTAGAAAAATAACAAAAGGGCGGGGGGAACTCTCCAGAGAGAGGGTAGAATTTCTTATGGGTACAAAGCAATCTAACCAGTTGCTGAAAGAGAACCAAGAAAGGACAAATGATAAGTTAGACAATCTCATTATGAAATAACTTATTTTTTTTATTTAAGAGTTCTTTTCATTTCTCTATGGTAAAAAGTGAGACACTGATTTAAATTGCTTTGAAGACCTTTCCTTTTTTGGGAAGCAACTTCTGATGGTACGTATATCTTGATTTTATGTTCAGTTGCTTAGAATATGTATTATATAGCAAGGTTAATGAAGTTCAGTGGGCTGCTTAGCCAGAATATAGATGTACCACAGTATTAATAAATCATGAAGAAAAAGCAGTGGATTTGAGTACTAGATTGAAAAATATCATGTAAAACAGCTGTGTGCAGTGAAAAGAAGTGTGCGTGTTCCATAGTAGGAGCATAGGACAAGGAGAGTGGGATTTTGCCTTGCTTTTTTCACTGAGCTTCTGTGTTAATGTCCAATAATCTAGTTTCACTTTGCCTTAGTTTCTCTAGCTGTTTAAGAATTATAATAATTAAAAAAAAAAAAATCCTACCTCACAGGGTTGTTGTGAGGCTAAAGCTGTTCTTTGCCAAGTCCTGGGGCTAACGGAAGGTGCAATAGAAGGACAAAGTCTGAAAACCTTTATAAAAAGGTCTTTACGTTAGCTTTCATTATGATATTTTAATACTACTTTGGGGAAAGCTTATTTCTGCAGAATGTAATATACGTTCTGTTTAAGTACTATGTAATTAGACTGTATTTTAATATGTATGGGCAAGGACAACATTCAGGCTGAGCACTTCATCTGGCATTCCTTCTTTTTGTGATCAGCTGTGCAACCCGAGTGGTGTATTAACATGAGGCTTTTTGTTTTTATGTGGAATACATTAAGATTAATAGTACTCTATTTTGTAAACTCCATGACTGAAATAAAAGTCTGCTCACAGTTCATAGCCATCTGTTATAATGTGGCTGTCTTAAAGTTTGTTTAGAGTCTGTGAACTAGTGATACTCACTCGTGATGAGCGATCATGATTATCTACTGGATGCAAGTAGATAATTGTGTCAGGATACTAAGTGGTAGCTTGTAGTAGGAATGTAGGTTTCTTCCCCTCTCTGCATGTAAACAAACATTTGTTTTACTGTTTATCCCTGTCCTTATTTAAGATGAAGTAGCATCCAGGTACGATGGAAATGCTGGGGAGAGAGTAATCTTGTCTTAAAATCAGATTTAAAAAACTTTCAAGTTAAGCTGTGGAGGAAGAGGATGAAAGGAGGAAAACAAGACAAAGGGGAATAGTTGTATTTGAGGTTTCTTTGGAACGTTAGGATAATGGAAGGGAACGCTCAGAAGATAAAGCTGAGGGCAATGAGCGGAGGGATGGGTAGGAAGGGAGGGAGAGGAAGGAATAACGATGCAGAGAGATGGTTACACTGTTCACTATTGTCTGCTGTTCTATCAGTTAACTGCAGCTGGAGGAACACAGAAACAATTTTTATGAATATGCCCTTGTGTGCTATTGCTCTTGATTTCAAGGTTCATCCCTCGGACTTTGTAGCAGGCCTCCAAATAGAGATAGAGAACATGATGGCATGGACGCAGACAAATTAGAGCTCTGGTGGGTACTGGACAGGAAGAGTGATGAGGCCTGGCAGTTAATTTCTCTTGCAGATATTTCATCATTGCAGCACTTCTAAGATGGTTTTTAAGATGTATCAGTCATGACAATTCTCTGTCAGAAATGATTACTGTTAAGTTTCAACGGACTGTTGCAGTTGCTTTGTAGGAACTGTTTAACTAGCTGAACGCTGAGCATTAAAGAATAATATAGGGGGCTTTTTAGTCTATTTATGGTGATAAGTGATGTTTTTCATGTAGCAATGATATCAACAAACTAGTAGTTGGCTTAAAATGACCTTGAGGAATGTCTTGTTACTTGGCTGGGTGAAGAAAGGGTCATAAAGTACTTCTAAGATATCTATCATCTATTCCTTTTTTTCTTCCCCTTAAGAAATAAATTATCTTGTTCTTACCATCTTTCCAGCTATGAAGAGCTGCTTCTGCCACCTCTGATCATTTTCCTCCCTGTATTTTCTAATATGTCTCTTTTCTTAAGGTGCTGATGAAACAGCAAATATTCATTAAGGATCCAAGAGAAATACGTGCTGTAATATTTTTCCATATTGTTCTGTCTTTAATACAGCCTAACATCTTATTCGCTTTCTTGACTGAAACTACACATTGAACAGATGTCTTCATCAAGCTGTCCATGGTGATGCCTAGATCGTCCCCTTGAAAGATCACAACTAATTCAGAATCCACCAGAGCATGTATGAGTGGTTTAAAGCCTTTCCAGTATTCATTGCCTTGTATTTTTTTTTTTCTTTTGACATTCCTTTGCCATTGATTTGCTGAGTTTACACAATTAGGTAGCTTACCCTGGCAATCACCATCTTCCCCTGTGCTGACACATCTAATTTTCTCTGGGCATTGGCTTTTGCCATCCTATATACTCAGTTTTTCATTTCGTGTATACAATTCACTCTCCTTACCAGTGATTAGCATGGCATGCTCCTATTAACTTTTATTTGGATCTGACATTTTCTATTCTACTTCTTGTCTCCTCTCTTCTGTGCTGAATTTTATTTCTAGCTCAGTTTTGATAGCATTGCAGTCACTGAGTTATAACTGTCTGCTCTATTTTGAAATAATTTGCCTACAGAAAACTGTTGGTTAAAATGCTGTCATAAGTTTTCTCTTTTAATTAAAACAAACCACTTATTTTGTACCTCTTTCAGAATATATACAACCATAACAAAATGATTCAAACCATAAAAACAGGCTGATAAAGACAACAAATGCATTGAGAACCAGGTAAAACATGCATGACTCTGATCTCCTATAACCTCACTTCATTGGTTTCAGTGGAGTTATTTCTTGTTTCTGTCACTTGAGATCAGTTTCATTAAAACTTGAGATCTTCTCATTAGAATTCTAGCTATAAACAGCCAGAGTCAAGCACAAAAAAGTCCCATAGCAAAATCTCTTTAAATTTCTGCGTTATTCTCTTTGAATCTGGCAGAGATGAGGCAGATGTTGTATCGGACAAGCAATCAGATGGGCTCAGGCATACTTAATCTCGCATAGCTGTAGTAATACTTGACATTCAAATTTTAATATTTGAGAAGGTGAGTGCAGCAACACTGGGGCCAGGCTTAGTCTTTTTGTGGTTTGTTTCATCTCTCTACATTCTCATCTTATACTTCTAGAGATGGTACTTCTGTAAATAAGATTAAGCCTTTAAATGTTGATTGCATTGATGAGTAATGCCTTGTTTATAAATACAAAGAAGGTGTCTTAAATGGTAAGCTATACGTCCCAAAAGGCTTGAGTCCTCCTTTTAAGAGCTGCGTTGTCTCAGTATTGGAATATCACATTATACAGAATAGCTGGGTTTGGTACTAATAATGGTATGTGGTTGAGAGATTATTATACCTTAGATTTTGCATCCAAATAAATTATGTTAGGTGTTCTATCTGTAGCACTTAATTGTTTTTGACAAAATCCTAATGTGGCTGCTGGGGATTTGTACAGAGAGGGGGTTTCCCCCCCCCCCGCCCCCTTCCAAATCTTAATTTTGGGGGTGAGGTTAGAGGGGATATGAGAAACTTTACCCTGTACTTGTCTGAATGTGGGATTTTTGTACCCTTTCCCCTGTGTCTTAAGACTCAGCTATGCTGCTACCACTCACTGAAGGCCAGTCTTGCCCCTGTGTAAATCCTTTCCCTGCTATATATTTACTAACCACGCAGTACTCTTTGAGACTGACTAGTTCTCTCTGACTGAGGACTGTGTGTTTAAACTGGGAATTAGGTAAAAGGCTAATTGGCGCCTCAAGCCAATGTGACAGTGTTTTCTAGCTAATTGGCTCTGTTCGTATTTTCTGCAACTCAGAAGCAGAGCAAAAATTATTCACTAGCTTGAGCTGTGCACTGTTAAGTATTGGACCTTTCTTCACTCCCTGGTATTCCCTTGTTCTTTTGCTCATCTACATTATTACCATGCCAAGGATCCGTTCAAACACAGATTGTAAAAAAGCCCAGTATCCCATCCTTCCCCAACAGGTCACCAGTTCTTTAAGCAAGTTGCTTAAGCAAGAACAGAGCACTGCTGTGTTCCTTCGGTCAGGGCTCTAGCTTCACACACCTGGTGCCATTTCTGTTGCAAAATGCTTAGCAAATAAATGTAAGTAATTGATTGATAACCCTTGATTTTTTTTTTGAAGTACACTCGTTTGTTACATTTCAACCTAGATTCTCGAAAGCTATTCAAATGCCTCATTCCCACTGGCTTTGAGCACCTTGGGCTTAACACTGCAAAATGGAAGCAGTAGCAGTGGTCTCAGTACACCACAGTTCAGCAGTAGACCCCTATTCCTTTTCACAGGTGGAACCTGTTAGTGCAAACACAAATGTCTGATTTAAACAGCAGCATGTACCTAGACTATAGGAAACCTTTTTTTAATGACTATGAGATGACTGGGTGAAGCAGAGTAATAAGAGGACACCTCTATAAAATGAATTTGCTTCTAACTGTATACTGGAATGCCTCACTACCAAAGTTAACCTGAAGAAGTGATGCGAAAGCCACTGGACTGCCTACAGTAGTAGGGGAGACTGATACTGTCTGTCTGGGAAAATGTGGCCAGGAGCCCATTCAGTGTAGCAGAAAGTGTTTCAGCAAAGCCAAATACAGTATGATCAATTTCTGAGAATCCCTGTGTGGTCCCCACAGTTTACACAGGAACCTAATGGTGCCTGTCTATTTATATAATTACATATGTTTATAATTTAAGTTCAAAACCTTAATATATATATTTTTTGTCAGTGGATATTTTTTACCCTGGTTTACCTATCATGGCTTCTGCATATGACAACTTCTAAATGTGCAGTAGTTGTTCTTTCTCCCCATGTTAGAGTAACTGTATGAAACTCTGTAAAGCACTTTTGTGATGTTGCCTGTGAAGAAAGCTGAAGAAAATAAATTTATCTTACAGCAGCAAATGAATTTATACCTCCACAGTTGTCTCACTGCTTTGTTGTGTTTACTAATCTGCTCACAGTGATGCTGAGCAATTACAACGGTTACTGTGCTTGAGTGCAGCATGCTGGCTTTAAGCATGTTGTTCTAGGAACAGTGTGAAATCTGCTGGCTGTGGCCTTGTGCTCTACATCTCTGGCTGTAACAGCTGCTTTCTTCCTCCTCTGCTTCCCTGCTGGAGTGCTCCCAAAGGCCTCTTTTCCTTCCCTGTATCTGCCTAATGCCAGCCTCACCCCTGCATTACGACCCAGGCTCTTTCTCTGTTGAAGTCCGCTGGGGCAGGAGGCAGTGCGCACAGTGGGGTGTTTGAGACTACAGATGTATGCATACACCAGTGCTGAAACACTGGTGGTTCCACTTCTGTCCTGTCACCGAGTCACAACAGCTGCAGGAGCTGCATGTCTCTTGACACACCTCCTTCTCTAAAGCTTAGCTAAACAGTCTCAGCCTAGTCAGTGGTTTCTCCTCTGTAAAACAAGAAAAGCAGCGCTACCCCCTCTACCATGGCATCTGCTGATGACAAAGAGCACATTGATGCTTACTTATAGCTCACCTGGTAATACACCTAAACCAGAGAGCAAACGTAACTGTAAAGCAACATTCTGCAAATAGAATAGGAAATTAATTTTGTATTTTAATGGCAATTAAAAATGTGATTTAAGGCATTAGCAACAAGATTATTTTTCACTGTTAGCCAACCTCTAATATCATCAAGCATGCTTTTAAGATCAAGAAAAGCAAAGCAAGGGTAAGACTTCACAGTCTAGTCTTTACAATTCAACAGTGACACTCCTGTCACTAATGAAGCCTAACTGCTGCAGGACCACAGGTTTCTGGGGCAATGCCTTTGAAAGAGAATCGACTTCCCTGCAGTCATTGACTTCTCTCTATACTTCCTGACAGCCCTGTCAAGGTCATCTGCTTGTCAGTGTCTTTCAGAGCTCATCGTAACCCTAGACACAAAAATAGCCACTGCATTAAAGGACGAAGCACATGCACAAGAACTAGCGTCCTGTACATAAAGCAAGCTGCATTCCTAGTCTTTTTCATGTGAAAAGGCCCACGTGCCTCAGGCTCCTTGCCCCTTCACCCTCCCCCCCCCTTTCCCCTCTAGCAAAGGGAGAGCTCTTCCCCAGGTTAGAGCAAGATCTGAGCAGAGCGGGCTCCAGGTCACACTAGGGCTTGGACACTTGCTTTCTTGTTTCCACCATGTTAGCGATGAAAAGGTTTTCTAAAATACACATTATGTAGCAGCTAGAAAAAAAATAGAATATGCCCTCTCTGCCCCATATGCACAACTTCTTGAAAACAAGCAACTGCCAAGCACTTTTGGTTCTCAGAGGTTTAAATTATTAAATAGATTTTTAACTGTTACATACAGTCCCCCAGACAGTTCCACTTGCCCATGCAACTTCAGTTTTTTTCTTCCCTGTTCAAACAGGCTGCAGCCATTACAGCTGCTTAAACACAGGCTGTTAGAGAAGACAGCACTTCTGCTTTAATAAGCACACAGATATGCACTTTCACCCAGGCTAGCATGGTATAACTGACATACATACAGAAATTTCTCAGTGAACAGAGACCCACATCCCACAGTTACTAAAGATTAAATAATTTGTCAAGTACTGTGGTAGCCTAGCAAGGAGCAGTTCCACGTGTTGAAGACTAACATCATTGTTGTGCCTCTGTTTTCTGTTGCAGACTCAATCCACCAGGAAGCATGGTCAGACATACTTCATCTCTGAAGTAGTCTCCTCTTTGTAAAATGGAGTTGGTTCTATGGTTGCTGATCAGATTCATTACCATTCAAAGGCAGAACCTCAAGCAGAGCATTTTATAGAAATAATTTATTACAGTCACTATGTACACCCATTATTTGTACCAAAATTTATAAGCCAGTTACTGTTGTTGTCTTTTTCCCTGTTTCCCAAAATTAAATACCAAAAGAAGAAAAATTCATGTAAAATCTGTCTGTTATTCTGTTGCAAATGCAAAAGTATTTTTACTACCTGATCAGATATTCCCTGCAACACACAGCTGGAAGATGTGTTAAGCATCTCACGTTTCTTAACTGTTATAGGATGGCGGCCCTAAACAAGTCAGTAACGTGACAGTGATCATAACACTGTTGAGACAAAGTTTTTTTTTTTTGGATGAGTGCTTGCCAAGTTTTTAGATACTACCAATAACCAACCTTTCCTATTAGTATTACGGGAAACTTATTTTAATCTCAAAACAAATTAAAAATGAAATTCAAAGCTTTTAATTCATGTCGTGAGAATGAAAAAATATAAATATGAATAAAAAATGTACTAACTAAAAACAGGGAATTTTCTCAGTGTATTCTGGATCGTTTGACTCTGCTCATTTCTCCCACTGCTTTTCTTTTCTGGGATAATCCAGTTCCAAGTTCTTTGTTATTCTGAAGGCAGGACTCAGCTTCTGGCAAGCAGTAAGACTCCATTGGAGGTGGTGGCTCCTTCAATAGGGGGGAAAAAAAAAAAAAAAGTAGTCAAATTTTTGATGGAAAGTAAGAAAAAGCACATTCCACACCAACAGTTTTGAGTACATTTTTACAAGCTCCCTAGCCTGCAACAAATCCCATTTCCAACACTGGAAACAAGGCTGTCACCTTATGGCAATCAGCATTTGAAACCAAGGGCAAAAATACTCATAATTACTGGCAAGACGTCACCAGCATAGCAGTGGTCGGTTTCAAAAACCTCTAATGGCTTGGGTCATTGCAGGCAATGGGCACAACCTGTTTCATCTCTGCTGGAGGTGCAGAGTACTCCCTGAGAGCGCCGTGGGCATGCACACCTGGATGAGGTAGTCAGCGATGTACTCTGGTTTCAAGCAGTTCACTCCTTGGGCTGCTGCCTCTGCTACGTTAACCCTGGTGTCATCTGGTTTCAGCTTACTGAAGTCAGCAAAGAGATGAGTAGCTTCTTTAAAGAGAGACACAGAATGACCAGAAAACACCTGCAGATTAAAACATGACAGACAAAAACTAGTTTATTTTTGTGTTTCTTTCCCAGGGAAGACAAATACATTTGTTGGCCTAGAAAGTCACTCATCAAGTTAACTAACAAACTGATAGGAAATAAAATGCCATTCACAGCTCAGTTCTCTTACTATCAAATACATTTCAAGAAGGGTGATCCTTCTCATCAGAGCAGGGCCCAGATGTTCTATCCTAAATTCCCTCACCACTACTGACTTGTGTGTGGCATGTGCAAAATGAAGACATCATAGCTTTTTTTCTCCCACCCATTGACCATGTCTCAGCTACTCTGTGTAAGCAATTTTGTTTAAGACCTTTAACTAGCATGGACAATGCTCAGCACCCAGGTTAGAGATTGTACCAGTATCTACAGAAACAATGTTAGACAACATATTTAATTAGTTTTTAAGAAAAACTACATACTTTTGCTCCTCCTGACTGAAGAAGGCGCCTGAATCCTGCTTCCTTGGTTTGATCAACATTTAGGATCACTTTCCAGCCACTGAAGGCCCCCTAGACAAAAGATTCAATTTAGCCCAAAGGATGTCCGTGCTATAAAATGTTTAACATACCTACAATCTACCCCTCCCAGTAATATCTGGCAGATCAAGATTTGCTGTCACCTAGTTCTGTCTTTTTAAATGTAAAAGGCAGACAAGATGCAGAACATACAAATGTTGGGCCACCACCATAGAGTCAGGCAGCTTGCCACCAAACCAGTGCTTCTGCCTTTCAACTGCTTAGCAAGATGGACAAACCAATCCATTCAAAAACACTTGGCAATGGGTTTTCTAGTACAGCAGACACTCATTTACTGAAATACATCTTCAAGAAAAAGTTATTTGAAAACAACTTTTTTTCTTTTTTTTTTTTTTAAACTTCATACACTGTACCATCTACTCAGTTACAGTATTGTAGTAGCAATACAGCATCTAGGACCAATTGGTTGCCTCATACAAGCACTTACTGCTGTTTCCAAATAGGTAAGGTGTACAAAGGACTTGTGTTACGAGCATTCATTTAAAAACATTATTGTAAAATACATGCCAATCAAGTATTACCCGGATGTGATTGAAACACTGGCAGTGTTTCTGCTTTCTATCGAATACTCTACCCCTTTTGCAATGTCTGGTTTGACAGAGGAGTTAAAAAGGACTTTGGGAGCCCAAGTCCCATTTTCAAAAATCTCACTGAAAGGCTATGGAACTTGTACTTTAAAAAATCACACAAGGTGCTTTTGGAAAGGAATACACTTGGCCAGCTGAGTTGTTTAAAGTACAATAGTATGCTCATTGCTGGAGTATACCAATGCTGTCCAGAGTGCCGTACTGTCACAGCACCAGATTTGGAACTGTTGCCGCCAGTACCAGTTGTGGTCCCCCCCCAAAAAATGAAGTTTGAAAATCAGAGCTCTGAAGCATAAAAACCATCAGCTTAATGGCTGGAGGACATTTACATATACTAGCAGCCACATTCTAGCTTTTCAATCACGAACAGTGGTTCAAGAGAAGATTAAGACTTTTACTACTAATATACCAGCACCAAAAGCCTTGCTATTTTCTTCTTAATAAAAAGGCAGATCAACTTTCCCTA